TGATCTCACGGATTTGAACATGCGCTCCACCGGTTAAGATTCCACCTGTGTTCTTGCCTGCCTGCACATCCATGAAGTTCTCAGGGCCGGCCTGGCTGAAACGTATCATGGAATAATTGAATGTTTGGGTTTTTATTTTCAGTTCCATATTTTCTCTCCCTCTAGCCTCTCTTTCACCCATTGAGAAGGCAAGAATTATGATACCCATTATACGTATGGAGTCATATGTAACATTTTCACATTAGCCATGTTCAAAAAATAAAAAAAGAAATTAAAAAAGGAAAAAAATATGTTTAAATATGAACTCTGAAGTTCACCAGTTCTTTCTCTGAAGGTGAATAGCATTTTCTGTCCTGAGCCCTTTGGTGTTCTGGTGAATCATTGTATTGATCAGAGTTCACGCCTAACTCTTTCACAGTTGATTGTTTTTACAGTATTGTTGTTACTGTGTAGGTTGTTCTGCTTCTGCTTGCATCACGTTGTATAAGTTCACATAGATCTTCCCAGGTTTCTCTGAAACCATCCCCTTCATCATTTCTTACAGCAAAATCGTATCCATCACGTTGATATACCATGACTAGTTCAGCAGTTCCCCAATTGATGGGCGTCCCTTCAGCCTCCGTGAATAGTTGAGTATCAAAGCCTCTAGTGGTGCTGTGAGTGTCCTTTATTCTAATCCTTGGTTTTCTGTATGAACAGCTGAATCCCAGAGAAGTTGATGGCTTATCTAGAGCTAAGCAGCCAGCTAGTCATTGAGCCAAAATGAAAATGCAGTTTTTCTGACCCCCTCTTCTGTATTCTGTCTATGATGTCACTGAATTGGTTGCATCAAATAGTGGTACGTACTAAATGAAGGTGTGCTGTTATTCTCAGTTTGTTCTTCTGTTTCTTAGGGTTATAGTGGGGGAGAATTTAACCAAAGGTTATTTATAGTGACTCAGAACCATATGTTGATTTTTCAGTTAAGAATCATTAATAATTCTTGTAAAAATCTTATTTTTATCCTAAATCTTCCTTTAGAAAAGGATTATTAGATTAATCTTTTCTTCTTTCCTATAAAAACAAACAGATAATAGACCTGAGAATATATAAAATTACATTCGAATAAGCTTTTTTTCCCCCTGAAATAGGACTCTTCTCTGTTTTGACATGTCTCTTTATATTTATAGTAGTGATCTCTTTGGAATTTGCCTCCTGGTTTCACTTGCTCTTGTCTGTCACTTCATTGAATCCTATTCTAACTTCATTTTTTTTATACATTTGGAGGAGTTATTAAAGGATAATAAGGAAAAATATTTGTATTTTTTAATATTTTGCTTGAAATTTTATTTTTAGATAAAATAAACATTTGAAACACCCATATCATAGATCTTAGTGATCATTTGTCCAGTCCTCTTAATCTTACCAGAATCTTATTAATAATATAAGTTTAGCAAATAATTATTTTAAAATACAGTATAGAACTGAATTCTTTTGAGTACCTCCTGTATATGAGATACTGTGCTAAGTGGTACAGGAAGGCATATAAAATAATTAAGAAATATTCCCTCCTTTTGAGGGACTGACAGCTTAATGTAGGGGGGGAGACCAATAAGTAAGCAAATAAAAGTAAAAACAATGGAACGTCCCAAGATAATAAAGTACAATGGAGGGTAAGTGTTGGGGTATTGCACACTAGCTATGAAGCATGGGGCAAAACTTTGACAGGCTAGAGGTAGCATTTCAGGCAGAGAGAACAGTTTGGACCCTGGTGTGGAAACAGGAGTGTAGGGGGCATGGTCAAAGAAAAGTGAGCAATCTCATTGACTTGAAATATGAGGAAGAAGAAGTATGACTTCGAGGTATAATGTGAATTGTCTCAAGGTAAAGCCCTTGTTATCCTGGAGAAATCTCGCTTTTGGATTCTTAATAGCTTTGTTACCATGACTGTTTAGCCAAGGGGTGGATAGCCAGTAGGACCTAAAAGGTCTTTTAAGCCAAAGCAGCTCTCTATCCCAAGGAAAGTATAAACTAGTAAAACTTATTACCAAGGCTTCATCTTTTCCGTGATTCTAAGAAACGCTGCATTTTATCCCAAGCTGATAGTGTTGGTTGTTAGGAAAGGTTTTTGTTGTGTTGAGTTGTTATTCAGTTGTATCCAACTCTCTTGTGACCTCATTTGGGGTTTTCTTGGCAAAGATGCTGGAGTGGTTTGTCCTCTCCTTCTCCAGCTCATTTTACAGATGAGGAAACTGAGGCAAACAGTGATGTGGCTTGCCCAGAGTCACACAACTAGTGTCTGAGGCTGAATTTGAACTCAGGTGCTTACTCCAGGGCCAGAGCTCTGTCCACTGTACCCCCTGGCTGCCTGATGTTCAGAAAGGACTGTATTCTTACTAACAATTAATGGCCTTTTGAAATTCTCCTCTTAACATTAGCTGTGTGACCATGGATAGGTCACTTAGCTTTTCTCAGCTTCAATTTCCTCATCTGTAAAATGGAGATAAGAATAGTAAATAAATAGCTCACAGGGTTGCTGTGATTTATGCCGAGTGCTTTGGTGATGAGATATGGTGATAAAATGGAGTAAAAGTTTTTATCTCAATTTCCATATCACTAAAAGCGAGTGATTTTCTCCTTAAATTGTATTTAGGAGGCGTGAACAGCAGACGCATTCCAGAAATATGTTGATCCGTAGCAGCACCACTGGGATCAGTTGCACAGTCTCCCAAGGGATAGTCCTGGGTCGTGACTTACAGTTCTGACCCTGCCATTCATTGACCACTGCCTCAATTTCTTTGATCCTCCACTTCCTACTCTGGTTTCTGAGCCGTAAAGTTGTATAAATGTAGACGTTTGTTATTATTTGTATCGACATCCTGCCATTCGCTAAAGTGGTTTATTACTTCATAGTCATCCACTTCCCTTCTTCAGACCTTCCGGTAATTGTGGTTTTGTTAGAATGGACACTCTCTTGGTGCAGATTGCAGCCCATCTCTGAAACTAAGCAGATAGTCTTTGAGAAATGCCTTGACTGAAAAATTAAGTACTTAGCCAAGTCACATTTATGTAGTGCCTACCGTGTGACAGATGCTGTTAAGTGCTTTACAAATATTATCTCCTTCAATCTTCATAACCTCCCTTGGAGGTAGATGCTATTATTATCCCCATTTCATGAGGCAGACAGGAGAAATGACTTACCCAGGGTCATTCACCTACTAAGTGTCTGAGGCCAGATTCCAACTCAGGTGTTCCTGGCTCCAAGTACAGAGCTGTATCTACTGTGCCACAGCTGTTAAGAGACATTGTGAATTTAGCTAGTGTGGTACATGGGCAGCAAACATACCACGCTCATTTCAAAAGTCTTTGCAGCTTGGTGGCACCTCAGGCACGGCCTCTGAGCACCTGGAAGTCATCTGGCATTATTGATAAAGCATTGCAATAAGACTTTAGGTAGCCCTAACCTTAAATGCCTCCGACTCTAACCCCCACCTCCCTCATTTTAAATGTCTTCTCTTCTCAACTAGGTTACAAGCCCTTAAGGACTTCCCTTATACTGTGTGTGGATGTTTCCCACTACTTTTCACGTAGGCCTTAAAATGTGCCATAATATGGATGAGAGATTGTTAGACATATTTCCAGATAATCAGACCCTAAAATATAACATTATTCTGAAATCCAACTTCCCAAATATCCTGCTAATTTATTTATGTGTTTAAAAAACACAGCAGTTTTACAGTGATATCAATTGTCCCAACTAGAAAAACACCTCTCTGGGCACTTTAGTTAGGACTTAGAAAGGCTGGTTGAACCGAACAGTTGCATTGAGGTTACTTAATAAAACGAGCAGCATTTGAATATTGTCTCCATAGAGCACTGACTGTATCAATCACTGAACAGCTACAGTCTTGGCAGTAGATGGCGGGACCCGGAGATCATAACGGACCGTTGATTCACAAGTACCATCACTAATTTTTTGACAGACCTAGGCCATTCTATGCATTGTGTATTGCAAATTGTTGCTTCAGATTTGAAGCTGATGATTCAGATTCAAGAGAAAGCTCTTGAAATTTTTTGAAAACTAGTGGAGACCTACAAAAAAATGAGGAGCTAAGCAGTGTATCTATAGCTCAACTCAAAAGGTCATCTCAGCCATCCAGAGGGTCAGAGTGTGCTTTCATCTTCTTCTTGCTAATTTAAGGCAGCCCCTCCTCCTTTTCCATTCTTAGTTCTCTTACTTAGGCATGTGCAGTGAAACAGCTGTTTGTACTTTTGAGGAGCTCAGTTGGCTGTGCTGTTGTGTTGTTGGGAACCAGGGAATGGCTGGATCCTCGAGTGCGCTCGTTCCTTTCACTTTGGGCTGCACACACAGATTCCACTCACAGTCCTAGCCAAGTAACCCATTTGCCGCCACGTAACCCATTTGCCTCCAAGTAGTCTTCTGCTGGGATTTGAAAAGGAGAAAGAAAAGGTGGTAAGCCCCAACAAAGGAAATTCCTTTTGCCCCCTCTTCCCCAGGGCAGGTTTGACTTAGAGTGGTATAGAGAAGTGTGCTTTGGGGTGGGTGAGTGTGGCTGCATCAGTAGAATCCTTCCCACTCTCCCAGAGCCCACTGCCAGCTTGGCCGATTGTTGGTCCGTGGTGCCAACTTGCTGAATTTCTTAAAACTCACTCCGTTTCGTAAGAATGGACGTATATTTTTGGAGATCATCTTTTAAATGACATTGTTTTTGTGGAAATGTGGGAGTCTTGATAAACAGGATTGATTTCCTCTCTTGAATATACTGCTTGTCAGTTCCTCTGCTCTTTTCCTGTTCTCTTCGCTGGAAGGAAAGTCTTGAGAGACCGAGGTAAGACACTTTCTCACTCAGGTGTTTTCATTCATCCAAATTGTAAATGCTTCCTTAGTGCCCGGTAGTGCTAGATGTAGTTTTTTGTAAGGTACAAAAACATGATAACAATAACTGACATTTAAAGTTTGCAAATCACTTTACAGACCTTTTCCTGCTTGATCCTTACAGCCATGTGAGGGAGGTGCTGTTGACCCATTTTACAGCCGAGGAGATCGAGGCTCACGATAAGTGACTTGAAGCCAATATCGGAGGTAGGAGATGAACACAAGTCTGTAAATCCAAGTGCAGTGTTCAGGCCACTAACCCTTGTTGCCTCTAATCCTTGCCTTCCTGGAGACTGCAGTCTTATTGCAAAACAAGAATAACACTTAGGAAGCGGTAGCAAGCAACACTAGGAAGCATGTGAATGCAGGAGGACAAGACGTGGATTGCGAAGGCCCTAGGAGGGTGAAAGGGAAGAGATGAATGAGTGCTCAGGTTCAGGGTTGGTCAGCAGGGGGCTTAGACTGAGGGGGGGGGAGGGGAGGAGGAGGAGGAGACTCCAGCTGGGAGCACACAGTCACACGTCCAAAGCTAAGGTTATGATCTTCTCCTCCAAACCTGCTTATCCCACCAGGGCCAGTCCAGTGTGTGGTAAGCATCTTCTTCAAGTGTGCAGAGTGCTTGATATCTGTGCATGTGTGTCCACATACGTGGTTATGCACGTGTTTGACACAGACACGGGGGTATAATATGTGTACCCTGAGTTAGCTCTTCCCCAGAACCTTGTCTGGTAGGTGCTCCAGGTGTCCCCATTACAGATGAGGAAGCTCTGAGTCGGAGAGATGATGTCTTGCCAGTGGCCACGTAGCTGGTAACTCTATGTCAGGTCACTGCTGACTCCATGTCTAGCATTTATTAAACACCTACTGTGTTTCAGACACTGTGCTAGGTGAGGGAGATACAAAGTTCAGGTCACAACCATTTGTGCCCTCGAGGGGCTTACTCTCCATTGAGGAAACAACATGCCCACATATAAATAGATACAAAACGTAATGTTGATGCCAGGTAATTTCGGGGGAGGCACTCGGGATTGGGGAGCAGCAAAGGCCTCATGTGAGAGCTGGCTTGAGCTGAGCATTGAAGTAGGTGAGGAGGGGGAGGGTATTCCAGGGATTGGGGAGAGTCAGCCTAAAGGTGAAGCCACAGGAAATAGCGTCATCAGGTTTGTCTGGGGAACTGGCCAAGGCTGGAGAGGTGGATTGTAAAGGGCTTTAAATTCCAAACACGTGTGTTGTGTTGGGTTCTAGGGAGAAGGGGGAGTCACTGGAGTTGATGGAGCAAGGGAGTGATGTGGTCAGGCCTGTGCTTTAAGATATCACTTTGGGGGCTATGCGTAAACTGGATTGGGGAGGAGAGTGGTTTGAGTGAGGCAGAGGCACAAATTTAAAGACTATTTTCCTGGCCCAGTTTATGAAGAGGGGTGTGTATGACTGTGCTGGGGGAGAAAGGGATGGATGAGAGAGCTGTTTTGGAGATAGAATTCACTTGGCGATTACTGGGGTGTGTGAAGAGAGAGTGAAGAGTCAGGGAAGCCTCCTAAAGATGCAGACCTGAATGACGGGTAGGATGGCGGTGTCCTTGGCAGAAATAGGGAAGTGCGGAGAAGGGAATAAGTTCTGCTTTGGACATGATGCCTTCTCTCCATGTAATTTTAAAAAACCCTATACAACTAATTAAAACAAACCAAAACAGTGGAGCAGTTTGGGAAGTGGGTGAGGTTGAATCCCCTTACTTGCCTGACATTTTTGAGTTTTTCAAATGCTGTGTTCACAAATCCCTTTGGATAAGCGATGGCATTGATGCCCCTTTTAGTGGGTGAAGATTTTGTTGGGTAGAGGTCAGGCTGAATAACAGCTGAGAGTTACCTGGGTTAAGGTGGTGTTTGAAGCCATGAGAAGCTGATGGGTAGAGAATGGGTAGAGAAGAGGGACCGAGGCAGGGGCTTGGGGGGGACACCCATATTTAGGGTGTGGGATATAGATGATGATCTATAAAAGGATTGGACAGACGAGTGGGAGAAGACCAAAAAATAATCATTGCTAATAAGAACTAGCATTTATTGAACACTTTAAAGTTTGCAAATCATTGTACAAATACTGCATAACTTGAATTTCACAGCAACCCTGGAAAGTAAGTAATTATTCCTGTTTTACAGGTGAGGGAACTGAGGGAGGCAGAGGATAAGTCTCTAGAGCCCAGGGTCACACCGTTAGTATCTCAGGTCAGATTTTAACTTGAATCTCACCCATTCTATCTATTGTACCACCTGCCTTTTGTACTACCAACCAAGAAACTGTGGTACCACAAAACTCAGAGAGGTCCAGAAGGGTAAGGATGTTGAAAAGGCTATTGGTTGTCCTTTGGCATGTCTGACAACTGGTTTTACTTTGTTGTATGGCACTCATTTCTCTCCTATTATTTAAATTTTCTGTTGTTTATCGCTGGTCTTTAAATATGGGTTGTAAAATCTTTCAGGTCAGTGACTTGTTTCATATACATACACACACACGAACACACACACACACACACACACTTGCAATTAATAATCTCCTTAAATGTTTGTTGATTTATTGACTAGAAGAGAACCTGATTGGAGTTAAAAACCAGAGATTCCTTTCGGTAAGGGTATACTTACTCCCAGATCACTAATAGTGGGATTTCAGTGTTTTGCACAGTATTGCCCTCCATGGTTCTTTTCTTCTCCTTTCAGGGTAGTCTTGAGCAGATGAAGCAAAAATCAACCCATCCTTTTTGCCAAATACTTGTTCCTGTGTGTCTTCCTTTAGAACTGTAGGCAGTACCTTCCTCAGTTTGTTATCGTTTGACAAATCTGATACATATATCATCTGCTTTTTTAGCTTACTAATGTAAATAGGTTTAAAAAATTTTTTCCCTCAAGACAATTTAGGTAATTCTCACTTCTGGGGAATTTTTTAAGACAAAATTACTTTGGATGAAAGGTCAGACTGATGCCCTTGAAAAATGAAAGAACAAAACCTCACTCATTTAGGAAGCATTGATTGAGCACCTGCAGGATATCGGTACCCAGCAGATCTGAGACTTCACTGAGGTGGGACAGTTTGCAGCCCACCCTGTGTAACTCTGCTCTGAGCCCTTTCTTAGACTAGCCAGCAGCCATTTTCACATTCTCTTGTTGTAATGTGAATACAATGGAGTGTATGACCTAGTAGCCGTCTTTTCTACCCATATATTCCACTATTTCTCCTAAAAAAGATGAGTTCATCCTCTGTAAGGTTTTGCAGTTTTCTCACTCCCACTGCATGTGTCTCCTTTGCTCATTGACCCTCCAGTTCAGGTCTTCAGAGGCTGTGATATTTCATGACAACTCTATATTATATCACCAGAAGAATACTGCCTTTTGTTTTGGGGTCATTCAAAGACTGCCTTTGACTTGCTTCCATTTCAGATCTGAGCCCAGCTCTGTGGTGGTGTCAGTCCCAGATAGATATGTTGGTGGATGAGCTTCATGGGTTGTCCGTCCAGTCTGGACAATGGGTATTCTTCATCTACTTGGTAAGGCCAGCCTCTCCTGAGTGCTGAGGGGATCTCCTTTTGAGACCCTGTGGTTTTATGGGGCTTGATGGTGTGTCTTTGGAGACCCTTCCCATCTGTAGCAAATGCCTCTTTGAACTGGCAGCTGTGCTGGACCTCTTCCCTTGACTGTGGTGAAATGGCCAGTTTTCAAGCCTTCCCTAATATTTATGATCAGAGTGTCGCCATTGTTTTCTCTAGTTACATCTTTCAAGGTAACATACACAATGCCTTTTTATCATCTGCAGCTGGTGCCTAGATTTCAATTAGTCTTATGGTGTTTGGGGGAAGGATTGCAAGTGCTTCTCCCTGAAATCAAGATGATCAGATAGCCTGTGAAATGAGAGTGGTTGGCCTTTGACTGTGTGATAAAGCCAGGCCTGCCAGCTCATCTTTTTTTCTTCTCCAGGGAGAACCTGTGGGCCATCTTCCCACTTACCTGCAGTCTCCTTCTGTCTTCAGGTTTTATGATTTTCAACATTGATGTGGTTCATTTTTGCCAACCTAATGATTGATCTTTAGCTCCCTCAAGTACTGCAGAACAGAAAGGGCCATACAGGGTTGAGGAGGGCCATTTTGTGTCTCTCTGCTTGGCCAAAGACTTCACCTCCATGTGACCAGCTTGTTGGTTGTGTACCTCTCTATCCTTTGTGGAATTAGTCCTCAGAAAGCAGACATTCAGCATAGGAGAGCTCTCAGAGCCCGTGTCCCACTGGCAGAGACTTCGGTAGCATTTCCAGAGTGCTGCCCAGCACATGGCAACTCTGATCATTACAACAACCCTGGGAGGTAGGGGCAGCTATTATCCCCATTTTACAGGTGAGGAAACTGAGGCACAGAGAAAGCGTGACTTGTCTGAGGAAGGATTCAAACGAGGCTTCTGGACTCTTCCTTATCTACTGTGCCTCCTGAGTCACCGTCATGCCAACACGAACATGGTTATAGGACTTTAGAAAGGGTATCCCGAGGCACATATTTACTAGCTGTGTGACCCTGGGCAAGTCTCCCTAACCCTAAATGCCTCATCTGTAAGTGGAGATCATATTAGCACCTACCTCTCAGAATTAAGCTAGATAAAATGCTAGCCATTGTATTTTTAAAAATAGTTTCCGTTATACTTCGTTTTTCTACAGTACCTCTTCTCTCCTCCAGACTTCTTCCTCTTAACTGTGGGTGCCTCTCAAGGCTCTGCTCTGGGTCCTCATCTGCCTTCGTTCTCTATCCTCTTGATCCCATCAGCTCCTGTGAGTTCACTTATGTCCAGTGGGTGCTTTCTCCTCTCTTGGGAACTTGAGTCCTGAATCACCAACAGTTGGCTGAAAAATTCCACGTGGATATCCCACAGGTGTCGCTTCTTGTCTCTTTGTCCCAAATCCATCTATCCTTCCTGTTTCCCTTTTTCTCTCGAGGGTGCCATCATCCTACCGTGGGGTTAACCTGATTGTTTTAATTCTCTTTTGCCCCTACAAGTTGCCAAATCCTGAAAGAGCCTTCTCGTTGCCTGGTACGTAGTAGGTGCCTAATAAATGCTTGTTGACTGACTGGTCTTTCTCCTTGCTGCCGTCCTCATTTCACACATTTGCTAAATTGATGTTCCTGAAAAAGAACTGATCATATCCCCCTTCTCTTCACTCTGTACTCTTCCATGGCTCCTTAG